GGGGGATTATAGGAACCCTTCTTTTCTAATGTGGCCATATGGGAAAAAGGAACATGGGATCAATACCAAGTTGAGCCTGAGAGAGCCTCAATTCCCAGGAAAACCTAAAGCTGGTTTGGGAAAATGGACAGTTTTTATCCCAGGAGGAATGAACAAAGTGTCCCTAAAGAGAAATTCTGCACCTCAGGGTTGAACCCTGAGCTGGAGCAGAGCTCCTGTCACAGATCCAGGAAGAGGGCAAAAATCCCAGGGAAATGTGCTCTGGGATAGTTTCATCAACTTCCTGATGGGAAACAGGGGAAAAAACGGGGAAAAGGACATGGGGGGATTATAGGAACCCTTCTTTTCTAATGTGGCCATATGGGAAAAAGGAACATGGGATCAGGTGAGGTTGTGCAGAGAACTTGAGAGCCTCAATTCCAGCTCAGAGCTTTTTCCCAGGAAAACCCAAAACTGATTCAGGAAAATGAACAGTTTTGATCCCAAGAGAAGAGAAATTCTGTGCCTTAGGGAAGAACTCTGACCTGGAGCTCCAGGAAGAGGGCAAAGATCCCAGGGAAATGTGTTCTGGAAGAGTTTTATCAACTTCCTGATGTGGAATAAGGGGAAAAAGGAAAAAAGGGATGGGGGGATTATAGGAACCCTTCTTTTCTAATTTGGTCATATAGGAAAAAAGGAATATGGGATCAATACCGAGTTGTGCAGAGAGCCTGAGAGAGCCTTAAGTCCTGCTCGGAGCTGTTTCCCAGGAAAACCCAAAACTGATTTGGGAAAATGGACAGTTTTGATCCCAAGAGGAATGAACAAAGTGTCCCCAAAGAGAAATTCTGTGCCTTAGGGTTGAACCCTGACCTGAGCAGAGCCCCTGTCACAGATCCAGGAAGAGGGCAAAAATCCCAGGGAAATGTGCTCTGGAAGAGTTTTATCAACTTCCTGATGGGTAATAGGGGGAAAAAGGGTAAAAGGACATGGGGGGATTATTGGAACCCTTCATATTTGGCAATATGGGAAAAAAGGAACATGGGATCAAAAGAAACATGTGCAGAGAGCCTGAGAGAGCCTCACTGTTCCAGCTCAGTGCTGTTTCCCAGGAAAACCCAAAGCTGATTCAGGAAAATGGAGAGATTTGCTCCCAGGAGGAGTTAACCAAGTGTAACCAAGTGTCCAGGAATTATCTCCTGTGTGATAAACACAAACTGGGGGAGAAGAGGAGCTCAGAGACTGCAAACAACTGGGAAAAGCCTGGGGGGGCTGAGTGAGGCCTTTTCAGCAGTTTCACCTAAATTTGTATCCACAAATCTCCTGGAAAATGTGGAAACTTCCAGACTGAAGCTTGAAATTTCCAAAGAGAAACATGGGATCAGTACCAAGTTGTGCAGAGAGCCTGAGAGAGCCTCAATTCCTGCTTGGAGCTGTTTCCCAGGAAAACCTAAAGCTGATTTGGGAAAATGGACAGATTTGATCCCAAGAGCATCAACTTCCTGATGGGGAAGAGGGGAGAAAAAGGGGAAAAGGACATGGGGAGATTATAGGAACCCTTCTTTTTTAATGTGGCCATATGGGAAAAAGGAACATGGGATCAATACCGAGTTGTGCAGAGAGTCTGAGAGAGCCTCAATTCCTGCTCAGAGCTGTTTCCCAGGAAAACCTAAAGCTGATTTGGGAAAATGGACAGATTTGATCCCAGGAGGAATTAACAAAGTGTCCCCAAAGAGAAATCCTGTGCCTTAGGGTTGAACCCTGACCTGGAGCAGAGCCCCTGTCACAGCTCCAGCAAGAGGGCAAAGATCCCAGGGAAATGTGCTCTGGGATAGTTCTATGGACATTCTGATAGGGAGAAGGGAAAAATAGGGGAAAAGGGATGTGGGGGAGTTATAGGAACCCTTCTTTCCTGGTTTAGTCATATGAGAAAAAAAGGAACATAGGATCAAAAGGAACATGTGCAGAGAGCCTGAGAGAGCCTCAATTCCTGCTCAGAGCTGTTTCCCAAGAAAACCCAAAGCTGATTTGGGAAAATGGACAGATTTGATCCCAAGAGCAGARAAATTCTGTGCCTTAGGGAAGAACCCTGACCTGGAGCAGAGCCCCTGTCACAGCTCCAGCAAGAGGGCAAAGATCCCAGGGAAAAGTGCTCTGGGATAGTTTAATCAACTTCCTGATGGAAAACAGGGAAATACAGGGAAAGGGGGCACAAGGGTGTTATAGGAGCCCTTCTATTTTGATTTGGCCATATGGGAAAAACAAACATGGGATCAATACCAGGTTGTGCAGAGAACTTGAGAGAGCCTCAACTCCAGCTCGAGCTGTTTCCCAGGAAAACCCAAAGCTGATTTGGGAAAATGGACAGTTTTGATCCCAAGAGCATCAATATCCTGATGGGGAATAAGGGGGGGAAAAAGGGGAAAAGGACATGAGGGGGTTATAGGAACTCTTCTAATTTGGCCATGTGGGAAAAAGGAATGTGGGATCAATACCAAGTTGAGCCTGAGAGAGCCTCAATTCCAGGAAAACCCAAAGCTAATTTGGGAAAATGGACAGTTTTGATCCCAGGAGGAATGAACAAAGTGTCCCTAAAGAGAAATTCTGCACCTTAGGGTTGAACCCTGACCTGGAGCAGAGCCCCTGTCACAGATCCAGGAAGAGGGCAAAAATCNCCCAAAATGGGAGCTGCTCCAAGGGAATTTTCTCTCTGTGAGTTACAAACCCAGGCACATCCCTGATGGCTCCAGGGCCAGGCTGGCACCACCCCCCAGGCACCAGGCTCCTGTTTGCCCTGCAGTGATGCAGCCACCCACCCTTATCAATTTTTGATAAGGGAGCTCAGGACGAGCCCTCCCCACAGTCAAACAGCCCAACTCCCACAGAGTTAAAACTCAGCAATGTTTGCAGGAGYTGGGAGGCTGCAGCACGGTGTCACCAAAAGCTCTGATCCCACACTGGCGATTTTAGGATTTTAGGAGAAGCTGTGCCCTTTCCCTGTTCCTCAGGGAAAAAAAAAAAATCCACCTGCCAGCAGATTTTCAATCCCTCTCATGGAAAAACTCAGAGATTTCACCAAAGCACCCCAATTTTCCAATTGGTAACCCGCACTGGGAGCTGCTGGCTTGGGAGATAAACACCCAGGAGTGGTTGGGAGCACAGGATAAGGACACTGAGGTGGCYCTGTCCCCTCCCACAGGGCGGATCTGTCACCAGCCCGTGACTCAGCTGCCACCAGGATCACACACAGCTGAGCAATGGAAGCTCACCTGGAGCTGTTTCCCTTTTCCCTATATCCTGCTCTCTCCCCTGACCCCATTCTTTTCCCTTTCACCTTCCCTCTCTGATCTCAACCTCCAAATTTCTCTTTATCCCAGCAGCAAAGAGCTCTCCCAAGAATCAAAACRCCTTCTGGCTTTGCTGCACCTTCAGAGGGAGGGACAAGGTGGTTTTTAAGGAATTGGGGACAGATTAGATTCCGACAGAACGTCACCRTGCTGAAGTCACACCAATGACATTCAATTTCTCCAATTTGTCACTGAATAAACAGGATGTGTCGCATTCAGTTACGWTTTTGGGGTGYGCAGGCATAGMAGAGCAGGAAGTTTGTTCAMAACTAACCTAAAAAGCAATTTAAGSCATGATTTCTGGTGTTTAAAGGGATGATTTGATGATTTCCTTCACCTCCCTCCATCCCCACCAGCAGCACAAATCCTCTTTCAGGCTACATTTGTGCCAACACCGAGGGAAAATTGGCCACAATGAATGCTCCAGTGACAAAAAAGAGATTTTTTTTTCCATCCTGAGGCACAAGGGAGGAGCAGGCAGCTCTTACCTGGTCGTAGGACACGGGGGTCTGCCTGTGGTTGGAGAGCTCCACCAGSGTGCTGACATCGGTGCGCAGGTCTGATTTGCAGCCCACCAGCAGCATCTTGGTGTTGGGGCAGAACTCCTGGATTTCACCTTTCCACTGGAATATCCCAAAGTGGTTGGATGGTTAAAAATGAAGGGAGTGAGGAGAGGTTTAATGAGATGTTCAAGAGTTGTTATGTAAGGGTGGGTTTGCCTTCCAGGGAATTTTGGAAGGCATCAGCTCCAGCAGGAGCTGGCCATGGATGAATTTTTTTTTCTGTCTCGTTTTTATGTCTCTCAACACCCCAGAATTTCACCAGCTCAGGAGGAAATGAAGTGTTTATCCCCCTGAGCAAAGGCTGGCAGAGCTGCTTTTTGTCACAGAAATGTCCCCACCTTCAGTGGCTCCTCCAGAGGCAGTTCTTGCACAGCCACAAAATCAGCAGGGCCACATTTGGGGTTTGTGCTGCAATCCCACACCTGAAACTACACAGATCTGTCCCAGGGGAACCAGCAATGAGCCCTTCAAACAGAACTCGGGGTAAATCTGGGGGGTTTCACCTTTTTGCAAGGTTTTTCTGAGAATTCAGAGCCAAAAACTTCACAGATTATGCTGTGACCATGATAATCCCTGTAATTTAGGGCTTTGAAAGCACAAGAAGCATTATCTCATGCAGAATTAAGTAACCAACACTAGCAAGGACAGAACAATCACACTTCTGGATGCTTTTTGGCACAGAAGGAAGAGTTGTGAAGTATTTTCTGTATGTTCAGGGCATTGTAAACCATTTTATTCCAGTGAGACAAGAATCACCGACCCCAGCTACAGAAAAATAAAATAAAAAGGAACTTCAGGTCATGAAGCCCCAAAAGCACAGTGAAATTTAGTCATGCTCAGYAGCCAAGGAGAGGAGAGGGACCACCCTGCACACACAGAGCCCAATTGTGAAAACAAACACAGGGTTTGCACTCATAGCAGGGTGGCAGCAGCTCAGATCAGCGATCTCAMAGCAGTTTTGGGGCAGGGCTGCATTTCTGTGCCACTGCAAGCTCTGCTGGTGCCTTCCAGAGGAGTTTGTCACCTCGGGGATGATGTAAGGCCGTGGCAAAAGGCCAAACCCTCTGCAGACAATTTTTAACCACCCCAAAAACGCAGAGAARTTTCCCAACCCTGTCACAGGAACGTGTGAGAGACCATTTCTTACAGCACCTCACACCTTCCTGCTGTCTCAGGGCTAAGGAATGAGAATTTACTTCAGCCCCAAGGGTTCATTAGCAAGTTTTTGTTTTCAATTAACACCCACCCCTTTCAGACAAATGACCTCGAATCACAGCACCCTCCTGTCATCTCTCCATTAAAAGAAACAAAGTGGAAGTTTCCAGTGCAGGGAATCAGAGATGAGTCTCCAGCAGAGCTGGGTGCTCTGGGGCTGCTCACAMACTTGCCTTTTTTAGGACACTGTCCAGGGTTTCTGGCCGACTGATGTCAAAGCAGATCAGCACCGCATCAGAATCCGGGTAGGAAAGAGGGCGGACGTTGTCGTAATAAGGAGAACCTGCAGGGAAAACAGAAAAAATATTCATTAATTGCTCTTTTTCTCTTTTCTTCATCCCTCAGAAAGCTCAGTGATGTCCCCCCACTGATCCATCACCCATCAAAAAGCTCAGAATGCACCCAAGAACAAGGAGAGGGAAATAGGGCCAGCCCAAATTGAAGGCACAACATTAACCTGCAGGGAAACACATCCTCAAGCTCCAAAAAGCTTTTTTTTTTTTTTTATCCCAAAGCAGATTTGAAATCCCTCAGTTTTGATTTGTCTCRCAGTTAATTTAAAACAAATAGCTCCAAGCACAAAAAAAAAAGCATCTTTAGTTGTCACATTGGCAATTTTTAGAAGAAACTCGTGCTTCAAATGAAAGAACTTGTTGCAGGAAACAGATTTCCATGAGGGAAAAATCCCAATCCCGTAGGCAGGCACCCAAGTTAACTGTCACAAAAAGCCTCATTAATCTGTAAACCAATAAAGYTTGCAATAAATGTTTATGTTTAACCCATAAAGCAGATTTTTATCAACAAGATCAAAGCTAATGTACTCTGGRGGAACAGATGTAGGTGCAGTATTGCTCTTTGTGCTTGTTTTACTTGCAGGGTGGGAAGGGATATTCTGTTTTCCTTAACAACACTCATGGTGTGCAGAGTTAAAATACACCCAGACTCAGAAATCTTATTTTAATCATCTGCTGAATCTGGGAATAGGTTTGGGGGAGGGGGGAGAAAATAAAAATTTGTTTTTCCTAAGAAGCTGCAGTCACTCAACCACCATTTGGTTTGGTCTTAACTGTGCTGAGCTTCACTTCCTGAGGATTTCTGATTTTAAAAAGTATTTAAACCAGGTCAGTGGCCCAGCAGGGTGAAGGTTTGGCCTTGGGCAACTCAAAACTCATTTTCTTGGCTATTACACATCCTTATTTCTGTGTATTCTGCACAAACCTAAAACCCAGAACACCCCAAAATCCAGTATGGAATCCCCTCCACCAGCACCCAGTTTCCAGGAGTTTGGGGTATTTTAAAAGGTATTTAAACCAGGGCAGTGGCCCAGCAGGGTGAGGCTTTGGCCTTGGGCAACTCAAAATTCATTTTCTTGGCAATTACACATCCTTATTTCCGTGTATTCTGCACAAACCTAAAAGCCAGCACACCCTAAAACACAGCATGGAACCCCTGACACAGGAACCCAGCTTCCAGGAATTCACGGGGTTTTAAAGGATATTGAAACAAGGTCAGTGGCCCAGCAGGGTGAGGCTTTGGCCTTGGACAACTCAAAGTTCATTTTCTTGGCCGTAACATATCCTTATTTTCACAAACCTAAAACAGCAGACCCTAAAGCACAGCACAGACCCCCTATCACAAGAACTCAACTTCCAGGAGTTTGGGGGACTTTAAAGCATATTTAAACCAGGTCAGTGGCCCAGCAGGG